TTTCTTTTTTTTTTCTCCTTTTTTACCTTTCAGTCTTCCTCTTTTATTCTTTCTTTTTGCCCAATTTACAACTCATTTTTTTCCCTTTTTTTTATATCTCTTCCACTTCCTTCTTTTTTCTCTTTTACCTTATTTTCTCTCTTCTTTTTCTCCTCATCTTTCCTTTCTTCAGAAATTTTTTCTTCTCTTCCCCCTTCTTTCTTCTTCCCATCATCTTCTCTTTTCTTTTTTCTTTCAATCCTCTTTCTCTTCTCTCTTCTTCTTCTCTTCTTTCATTTTTTCCCTTCTATCTCTCCCCCTTCCTTCCTCCTTCTTCTTTCTTTCCTTCTCATTCCTTCTTCTTTCATTTTCCTTTCTTTTTTCCTTTTTCCTTTTCCTTCTCCTTTCTTTTTTTCTCCTTCTTTCTCTTTTTTTTTTCACTCTCTTTTTTTCTCCTTCTTTTTTTTCTTTTTCTCTTTTTATCTCCTTTCCTTTTCTTCTTTTTCTCTCTTTTTCTTACTTCTTCTCCTTCTTTCCATCTTTTCATTCTTTCACTCCATCTTCCTTCTTACAATTTCTTCTATTCTCCTTCTTCTCTTCCTTCTCCTCTTTTCCTTTTCATCCTTCTTCTTCTTTCTCTTTCACCTTTCCTTACTCTTCTTTCCTTCTTCTTTCTCCTCCTTCTCTTTCCTTTTCTTATCTCTTTCTTTTCCTTCTTTTTTCTTTTCCCTTATTCTTTTTTCTTCTCCTCTTTTCCCCTATTTTTCTCATTTTTCTCTTCCTTCTCCTTTTTCTCCCTCATTTCTTCCTTCCTCACTTTTTCTCCTTTGCTCCCCCTTTCATTTTTTCCTTCTCTTTCTTCATCCATTTTTCTTCTCTTTTCTCTTATCTTCTCCTTTCCTCTCTTCATCCTTCTCCTTCTTCTTTTCCTTCTTTCTCTTTCTCTTTTCTTTTCTTTTCTCCTTTTCTTCTATCTCTTCTTCTCTCTTCTTTCTTCCTTCTTTATTCCTTCTTTTCATCTTCTTTCCATCCTCTTCTCTTTCTCTCTTCTCATCCTTTTCTCTTCTTCTTCTTTCTCCTCTTTTCTCCTTCTCTTCTTCTCATCTTCTCTTCTCTCATCTTCTTTCCTCATTCTTCTTCTCCATCTTCCTTCTTCTTTCTCCTTCTTCTTTCTTCCTCTTCCCTTCTTCTCTCCTTTCCTTCTCTCACTCCTTCTCCCCTCCTTCCTCCTTCTTCTTCTCATCCTTCTCCTTCTCCTTTCCTTCTCCTTCATCCTTTTCTTCTCATCCTTCTCTTCTCCTTCTTCATCCTTCTCCTTCTCCTTCTTCTTCTTCCTTTCTCCTTCTCCCTTCTTCTCATCCTTCTTCTCTTCTCTCTCCTTTCTCATTCTTCTCCCTCCTCTCCTTCTTCTCATCCTCTCGCTTCTCTTCTTCTCCTTCTCCTTCTCATCTCTTCAAGGGCATTTAAATTAAAGGTACAGTGTCTTCCTCAACTCCCATTTAAATTAAAGGTACAGTCTGCACTAATTTAAAGGCTCTCTGAAGCCTAGAAACCCTTTTAATAAGTTTAACTTCGTAGCGAAGAAATTCGCATCGAATCGAATTTCACACTGGAATTCGCCCGAATCAGCCGAATCAAATTTTTGAGAAATTCGCTCATCTCTAATGAGCAGCAAGCATTAATTGCTGTCATATGCACTACTGTATGTACAATACACATTCCATAGTCCCTAGTCCATCTCTGGAGTAAGCAAGAGAAAGGTGGCTATGTTCCTACATACAGTGAGAACATGGAGAATGAATGTAGACACCATCGTAGTTAGCATGGCAGAGAGTACCTGGACCAAAGTGTTTGCGCTTTATTGAAGTGGGTCATGTTGGTGTTTCCAGTAATAAAGGAGCACTATTTTTTTGCTGCAGCTCACTTTGAAAATGAACTATGTAATTCTTATTTTAACCAAAGTAGGTGTGACTACTTTATAGATCTCATTGCTTACGTTTTGACTTTTTAAAAACACAGCCTAACCTTAGTCTCTACAGTTGTTAACTTGCTCCAGGCTACTGTATAACATCTGACATTTACTTAAATAATGCATAAGCCATAGGAATGCCAGCACAAGGAAGGCAGAATTTGTTACTAGTGCTTAAAGGAGAAGTAAACCATCACAACAAAATTAAAGGTTAAGTTCACCTTTCATAACCTGTTACAAACACCCATGTCTAGGGTTTAACATTGTTCCTATATAAGCAGCCTCCGCTCCTTCCCAAGCCCCCCACGGCCACGTCATTCAGAGTTGCATGAATTTGACAACTACAGCTACCATCAGCAGTTTCGGCTGACAGCTTGTATTTCTGAATGAACGACCAAGGTGCTGGTGAGCGCTGTAGTAGTTCATTGGTTTTTTCCATCATTCAGTAACTGCGCGTCCATACTCAGTATAGTCAGACAGTGACACTGACAGTCTGCAGCTCCTAAAACAAAAAAATAAATGCACATTTTTTAACAAAAAAAATATATATTTTTTTTTTACCTACAAGATGTGCATTTATTTATTTTTTAAACTTATGAACTTATCCTTTAAAAATGCTGGGGCCCCAGGAACTTGGCATAATGTGCTAGCATGCACATCATATTCTCATATTATGGAAGACTATTTGTTTATTACAGGGACTTGTATAGCGCCGTCAATTTACGCAGCGCATTACATATATATTGTACATTCACATCGGTCCCTAACCCTCAAGGGGCATACAATCTAAGGTTCCTAACTTACATTCATTCATACATACACATACTAGGGCCAATTTAGACAGGAGCCAATTAACCTACCAGCATGTCTTTGGAATGTGGGAGGAAACAGGATCACCCAGAGGAAACCCACGCAGGCACAGGGAGAACATGCAAACTCCGGGCAGGAGGTGCCGTGGTTGGGATTTGAACCGACGACCCTAGTACTGCCAGGCGGAAGTGCTAACCATTTAGCCACTGTGACTAAGGCCCATTTCACATGTGCGGTCCAATCAGGTGCACCTGTCTGTTTTCAGGCGGACCCTATCGGAACCTCCATTCTCCTCTGTGGGCAGCTGGATGTAAACGAGCTTGTGTCTGTTTACACCCGGCTACCTCTGATCCGGCAAAAACAAATGGAGTTCCATTCCCCTCTGTCTGTCCAGGTCAGGTCAGAGAGCAGTTGGTTGTAAACAGACAGCTGGTTTGTATATATCTGACTGCACATCGAGCAGAGCAGGTGGTGTCCGTGTCCGCCTCCGCTCTGCATAAGTGGAGCAGATATGGTCCTGTCATCTGGCTGCTCAGCTCAACGGGATCAGCGAACAGATCCCTGCTGGTCAAATCTGAATCCGACCCGGTAAGTCTGGATCCGACTTACCTTGCAAGCACTCCTCTCCAATGCTGCACTATCACTCAGTGCATTAATCTTCTCTCATTCTTCAGATTTGAAGTCTATGGTTTCCTGATTGGCTGTGATACCATAATTCCCACTCATGCGCACAAGAATTAATACACCTTGGCGCAGAAGCATGTTAAGTTTGCGTACACCAAATTCTGCACACAGCTCACTGTACAAATGCAGAAAGGCAGGAAAAATGTGTTCTTGATCCTTTTGAATGCTGATGCCTTCATAAATCTTTAATAGTTGTGTGATGAGTCCTTGGGTACTGATGTAAATTGTTGATGCTTAAACTCTTCATGGATACATATATAATACTTGTGTTTCCTTTTTTTTCTTTTTTTTAATCTGGTAAGTAAACAGATTTTCTTAAGAAATCCATTGTTTTGCTTCAAACACATTGCTATATAAATAGTTTTTACTCCTTTAATCAATTACAAAGTGAATGTTGCACTCCTTTTGCATGGATGTTCCGATCAGGTCCGCCTGCCGTTTTTCAGGCTGACCCAATCGGAACATCTATTCTCCTCTATGGAGTGGCGGGTGTAAACAGATATGTCTGTTTACACCCACCAACATCCTATCCGTTCCACCAAAAAGAAACTGATGGGGATCCCTTCCGTCCATCGGATGTGATGGCAGTCTGATGGAAACAGACAGGCGACTGCCATCCCATCCAACCACCCATAGAGGACAGCGGGCTGTGTCTGTTTTCGCTCTGAAGCAGCAGTGGAGTGGAAAAGGAACCTGTCATCCGCTTGCTCAGCGGGGATATCCCTCGCTGAGCAAGCGGATCCGCTGACTGGTCTGCGCCATGTGAAAGGGGCCTTGGTGAAAATTGCTAGCTCATGATTTGGTATTTAAAGGCCACGCCTGGGATTGTTTTTTTTTTTTTTTTTTTTTTTTTTTTTTTTCTTTCTCCTTCTTCCTTACCACTCTCTTGATGAAATCTCCATCTAAAGGATTTTTTTTTTTTTTTCCTCGGCAGTCCCCCCACCCAAACTGGCAGCAAAAAAGGCCATGGGGGGGGGGGTAGTACTTAGTTTAATATGTTTGGGTTCACACTGTAAGGGGGAATATGCTTAGTATCGTGCGTTAGAAGGGAGAGGAGTAGGAGGAATGGTAAAATATTTTTAGCCCAGGGTGGGACTTTAAATTGAGCACAGTGTCACCTTATTCACTAACATTCACTTGGCAAAGGGAATAACTTATTCTTCAGTGAATAAAACCAATTACTTTCTACAAGCTGCTGATGTAGAATTTGGATTATGTTCCACTTCTCACCTATCATTCTCTGTTTGTAGTGTTGTTTTTGTGTTTTTTTTATTAGCTTTTTTTTAACACTCACCTAAACTTTTTTTTTTTTCTCTTTTCTTTTCTCTGCTTCAGGAACTGTTCTGTAGGACACCATGGGAAAACTTCATCATGGACTTGCCAAGTGGTGGTGAAATGGTACCTTGGCAGCACTGTGCGGTGATGTGATCCGTTGTTTTGGCCCCTGAGGATACTCGGCTGGATATTATTGAGGCCCCATTGTTTTTGTGGGTTTGTTGATTGGGAATCCCCTAGCATCTGCTGGGATCCCTAGGCCTGGCTCTTATGGTATAGGAACATGGACCATAGCAACAGGGAGAAGGATGACAGGCCACGAGCAGCCAAAGCTTTGCCAGTGCGGACCGTCCATAGCACCCGGCCATCCAGCTCGACCACCTCCTCAGGGGTCCTTATGGTGGGACCCAATTTCAGGGTGGGAAAAAAGATTGGCTGTGGAAACTTTGGGGAGCTACGGTTAGGTAAGATTAATTCAAAGATGGTTTTGTTTGTTTTTTGTATTTTAATTTCACTTTTATTCAGCCTGATCTGATTAACAGATAATTTGGGTTTTGAAAGGCTACCAATGTCATTCACAAAATACATTAGTACACACCTAGGGCATTCTTCCAGAAACTTAGAAGCCAGCAACAATAGAACTTTGCACTGGCATATTATGTTCTCTCCCCACCCATCACGGCAGCTGTACATGTATATCTGTTCACACACAGTCTAATCTCGGCCACAGTGACATTTATTATTTCAACACAAACAAAGGCTGGTTTGTGGGCAAAAAACAATAAATATATACACATTCACTGGCCACTTTATTAGGTACACCTGTTCATTTGCTTGGTAACACAAATTGCTAATCAGCCAATCACATGGCAGCAACTTAATGAATATGGGTCTGGTGAAGATGATTTGCTGAAGTTCAAACCGAGCATCAGAATGAGGCAGAAAGGGGATTTAAGTGATTTTGAATGTGGCATGTTTGTTGGTGCCAGACGGGCTGGTCTAAGTATTTCAAAACTGCTTATCTACTGGGATTTTCATGCACAAGCATTTTTGGTTCTATAGACTTCAATGGGAATGCTGTAGAAAAGCAACTTTTTGCGTTTAAAGTCCCTGACTCTTTCCAAAAAATGCACCAGGTGAAAACGCAGAGATGTGAATCTGTCTCATAGGAAATCGCCTTAAATGCACTGTATTGCGTTTTCTGCAAAACTTGACGGAAAAACCGTTAGGCGTGAACCTAGGGTTACAGAGAATGGTCAGAAAAAGAGAAAATATCCAATGAGCAGCAGTTGTGTGCACAAAAATGCCTTGTTGAGGTCAGAGGAGAATGGGCAAATTGGTTGCTGCGACATTCACATGGTAGGGTCAGAATTTGGCGTAAATAACATGAAAGCATGGATCTAAATATACTCTTGAGGACAGTTTTTTTTTTTTTTTATTGTTGCCAAAAAAATGGTAGCTTCTTACATCATCCTTAGTGCAGTGTAGTGCCTAACAGGTTAATTTCCCAAGATCGATATTGCCATCTTAGATGTTGACAGCTGTCAAATATTTACCGTATTTTTTCGCATCGCACCTGACCCATAAGACGCACCTGACGAAAAACATAAGGACGCACCTAGGGGTTTTGGAGGCGAAAAACTGCGGACAAGGGAAACCAAAACAAAATATTGACCAGGAGACTGAACCAATGGACTGCAGACATAGTACAGGGGATGACCAGAGACTGCGGACACAGTACAGGAGATGACCAGAGACTGCGGACACAGTGCAGGAGATGACCAGAGACTGCGGACACAGTGCAGGAGATGACCAGAGACTGCGGACACAGTGCAGGAGATGACCAGAGACTGCGGACACAGTGCAGGAGATGACCAGAGACTGCGGACACAGTGCAGGAGATGACCAGAGACTGCGGACACAGTGCAGGAGATGACCAGAGACTGCGGACACAGTGCAGGAGATGACCAGGGACTGCGGACACAGTGCAGGAGATGACCAGGGACTGCGGACACAGTGCAGGAGATGACCAGAGACTGCGGACACAGTGCAGGAGATGACCAGAGACTGCGGACACAGTGCAGGAGATGACCAGAGACTGCGGACACAGTGCAGGGGATGACCAGAGACTGCGGACACAGTGCAGGAGATGACCAGAGACTGCGGACACAGTGCAGGAGATGACCAGAGACTGCGGACACAGTGCAGGAGATGACCAGGGACTGCGGACACAGTGCAGGAGATGACCAGAGACTGCGGACACAGTGCAGGAGATGACCAGAGACTGCGGACACAGTGCAGGGGATGACCAGAGACTGCGGACACAGTGCAGGGGATGACCAGAGACTGCGGACACAGTGCAGGGGATGACCAGAGACTGCGGACACAGTGCAGGGATGACCAGAGACTGCGCGGACACAGTGCAGGGGATGACCAGAGACTGCGGACACAGTGCAGGGGATGACCAGAGACTGCGGACACAGTGCAGGGGATGACCAGAGACTGCTGACCTTTGGGGAGGGAGGGGGAGCGGGTACCTGAATTTGACAGGTACCGCTCCCACTTCCGTGGAGTTGCCTTCCCTCTTCTTCACGGGCCGGCTTCTGTGACAGCCGGGTGCCCACTGCGCATGCGCGAGAAGCGCTGCGCTTTGTGAATGGCCCGGTGCCTTCTGGGACCTGTCATGTGTCACAGAAGACACCGCACCATTCACAAAGCGCAGCACATGCGCAGTGGGCACCCGGCTGTCACAGAAGCCAGCGCGGAAAGACTGTGCAGCGCTGGAGCGAGGAACAGGTAAGGCCCTGCAGGAGAGAACAGCTGAGCGGCCGGCCCGGTATTCTGACATGGTGGCGGCAGAAATACCGGACCGGCCGCTTTATATTCGCTCCATAAGACGCTCTGACATTTTCCCCCCTTTTTTGGGGGGAAAAAAGTGCGTCTTATGGAGCGAAAAATACGGTATTTGAAGTCTTAAGTAACAAGCCCAGATTTCACCACATTATCCTTGCCGTCAGTCGCTGTTATTGTAGAGCAGGATTTCGGCTTGATCACCTATTATGCAGTAGAGAAGTTTGCTCTTCACAAACTGGCTGATTATCAGCAGATTTGGTCTACAGCTACTTTGCTAGCTATTATATCCACACATTTATCAATATTCAGGGGCGGCGTTAAATGTACACGCCAATCAAAATTGGTTAGGGGAGGGAGTCTATTCTGAGTGCTGTAAACCAGCCACCCAGTTTGCTTTTATAGGAAAGCCAGTCACCTGCTGCAGCCATGATACTGGTATATCACCCCTTGCAGCCCAGGAAATTTATATACGTATATTGGACAGCATGCAGTTAAAGTGGTTGTAAAGGCTTGAGGATTTTTACCTTCGTGCATTCTATGCACGAAGGTAAAAAAACCTATGTGCAGCAGTGCCCCCAGCCCCCTCATTACTTACCTGAGCCCCATCGATGTGCACAACAGCCTCAGTGGTCCCGGGTCTCTGGCTCCTCATTGGCTGAGACAGCAAGCAGGAGCCCTTGGCTCCCACTGCTGTCAATCACAGCCAATGAGGAGAGAGAGTGGACAGGGCTAAGCTGCAGCTCTGTGTGAATGGACACATGGAGCAGCGGCTTGGGAACAGCCTGCTTGGGTGCCCCCATAGCAAGCTGCTTGCTATGGGGGCACCCGGCAGGAGGATCCAAGAGTGCCAGCGAGGGACTCGAGAAGAGGAGGATCCAGGCTGCTTTGTACGAAACCACTGCAAACAGCAGGTAAGTATAACATGTTTGGTATTTTACAAAAAAACAGAAATGTGAACCTTTAGAATCGCTTTAAAGGTAGGATCCAATCAAAATTGAAAATGAAACCCAAAGATACTGACAGTGACCACCTACCTACTCATTAAAGAAAACACTCCAAACAAAATGCTAATTTTTTAAACTTGACCTGCTCCCTTGTGACAGTGCTTTGGTCTAGCAGCCAGTTGTTAAGCCTGAGCATTGTCACATGACCAAGGGAATTGCATGACTGCTTCCCCACAGATTTCAGTGACATTTATGATGGAGAGGAATGTAAGAAAGAGGGTGACAAGATGCAGTATCACTTTTGTGTCTCTTATAACATATTACCATTTTTAGAGTGTATTTGCATTTCTTCCACATTTACTGATGTTTGCAGTTGACATTCATTGGTATTTAGAAGGATGGCTGGTGAATGTTGGCAGATGAAGTCATCGAGTCAGTCTTCAGCACCGTCATAATTCACTGTACTGATCAGTGTGTCTTGTATAGTATATCATTTAGGATAAACAGAGGTGTTCCAAAGCAATGTACACAAAAGTGAAAAAGTACTTGCCCCCTTCCTGAATTTGTATTTTTTGCATATTTGTCACACTATCACAAATTAATCAGATCATCAAACAGATTTTAGTATTGCACAAAGATACCCTGAGTAAATACAAAATGCAGTTTTTAAATGATGCATTTCATTAAGGGAATGCTTTGCAAACCTGCCTGGCCCTATGTGAAAAAGTAATTAACGCCCCGCCCCCCCCTTTTTTTTTTTTTTCTTTCTTTCTTTTTTTTTTCTTTCTTTTTTCTTTCTTTTTTCTACATCATGAATGAACTGTGATTAACCACATTTTTTGGAAAGCTGGGTTAATTTTCACTTGCCACACCCAGGCCTGATTACTTCCACACCTGTTAAATCAAGAAATCACTTACATAGAAGCTGTCTGACAAAGTGAGGCATGCTAAAAGATCTCAAAAAAACAACACATCTTGCCGCGACCTAAAGAAATTCAAGAACAGATGAGAAACTAAGTCATTGACATGTATCTGTTTGGAAAAGGTTACAAAGCCGTTTCTAAGGCTTTGAGGCTCCAGCGAACCACTGCTAGAGCCATTATCCACAAATAGAGGCAACTTGGAACAGTGGTGAACCTTTCCAATAGTGTCCGACCTACCAAAATTGTTCCAGGAGCACAACGACACATCTAGGAGGTTATAAAAGAACCCAGAACAACTTTGAAAGAACTGCAGGCCGCCCTTGCCTCAGTTAAGGTCGGTGTTCATGATTCAACAATAAGAAAGAGACTGGGCAAAAATGGGAAACCATGGGAGAGTTCCACAGCCACTGCTGACTGTGACGATCGCGGCGTCAGGCCCCAGCCCTTCTCACCAAACTCTTGACTGAAGGACTAGCCAATCTAAAACCGTGCTGTCACGTGCGTAACAATGCCACGCCCAGCTGCACTCTGCACAAAGATTTCCCAGCTAATGGACCACAATCTGTACTAGCAGCCTGGGAGCGATTGTTACTGGGTCAGGTTAATTATGCAATTAGCCCTTCACACTGCCACCACCTCCTTTTTGTACAGAGAAAGAGGAAACTCGGCAATATTAGCAATAACACTATGATGGTTGGATAATCGTCTGTATACCACTGTCACCGCAAGCAGGTTATACAGAGG